TGGTACTAAGGAACGGGGCTGCTTTTGCGGTGGGAGGCAGGTTTGCTTTTGCCTTTTAATTATGGGTCTCCCCAGAGCCTGCCCCTTGGGATCTAGCGACCCCAAATGGAGGCCTCAGAGGGGCAGCCCATCCAGGGTTGCTAAAACTCACAAGGCCAACCATAATTCTTGGCTATTTTAATAATTAACCAAAATTTGGAATTAAAAATTAATTTCATGGTGAATTGGGGTGCTAATAGGTAATGCTGCTGCATGGAGAAGTGTTACGTTATTGATGCTTACATTTTAAAAGCTCCATAGTAAAGAAAATACAAAAAGCACTGAGACAGGCTTTGGTGATATCCTCCTGGGGCGGGAGGACGTCTGCCGGGCCGCCCTCCTTGCCCAGCAGGTGAGTGAGTGGACGGGGCTGGAGTGGCAGATTGGAGGGTCCACCCCAGCCTTTGCCTGGGCCCCTGGGTCTCTGTGATGCTTATGGTCTAGGGTGCAGCTGGCTCTGCTCTGTGGCCTCTGAGGGCAGTGGCTTTGGCTGCAGGTGTGACAGGTGTTGGCTGTCCTTCAGTAGAAGGCGTTTGGTGTCACATCTTCACAGAGGACGCTGGCCACGTGGTGTCCAGTGTGCTGAGGCAAGTGTAACTTCTGCTAGGGGGCGTCTGTGGTTTCTGGCCAAAATGATTTCCATCTTCAATGTCCTGGGCAGGGACTGTGGGTGCAGCCTGAGGCCAGAGGGACAGATGTCCAGGGGACGCTGCCCAGCTGTGACAGGCCGTGGAGTGGCAGGGGCCACAGGCTGCACGGGGCTGGCATCATGCACATGGCCACGAACCCACGTGCCACTGCCCTCTGCACTTCCCAAGGAGGAAGTTGAAGTTCAGCAAAGCCAAGGCAACCGCCAAGAACTCTCAGCTTGCAGTGTGAGGCTCCGGAGCCCAGGCCTTTCTGCCCCAGAGGTCAGGCCGGGGACAGCCGGCGAGCTGGCCCGAGAGCGCCCTCACTGCTGTGAATCTGGTTTGTGGTGCTGGCCTTGCAGGGCCCAGTGGATGTCTTGGGCCCTTAACAAGTGCAGGAATGCTCCAGGATGAGGTGGCAGCCACTGGCTGCCCTCCTGCCCCACAGTGTGCTCGCCCCACGGGGGCCTCCCAGGGTGAGGTTGGCCCCTCAATGACAGGGTCCTGGTGCGTATTCCCCGGTAGGGTCACTGTCTCTATCACTATTTGCTCCAATTATAACTAATTGGACACATACTGCATTTTCACAGCATCTAATTTTCCATTGATTTTAACAGGGCTGCGGTGTTTTCAGCAGCGATTATCTGTGTCTAGTATCAGTTGCTGCTTAAAAACGCTGAGTGTACTTCCCAGTGTGGGATGACTCCATCAGCAGATGTTTTAAAACCCATTTAACTGTTTGGTTCGTAAAATGCACCAACAGTAGTAACTGCTGCCTTGTTCTCTTTGGCACCCCAGTGAGGGGAGATTTTCCAGTGCAGCCGTGCCCCAGGACCCAGCACAGCCCCGCTGTCCAGGAAATGCTACAGTTCACCAGTAACACTTGGGCGGTCTTTCCGCCCAGCCCAGCGCCAAGGCCTGGGGCACCGAGCAGCAGCCTGGAGCTGTTCGTGCCCGTGCTTGGCAAGCGTACTTCTGGTGGGCCCAGGGGCTCAGTGGGGGTCACTCTGCTGTTTGGAGGTCTTTGCAGTCCTGTGGCTCGGAGGGCCCAGAGCAGGGGTGGCCCACGTCGCGGCAGCATGTGCTGGGGGGTAAGGGCAGGACAGGACAGCTTAGGGCTACAGCAGGTTCCGGAGCCTGAGATGAACACAGTGGTCTTCAGGAAGGCTGTACTTTTTGAAGCACCTGGCCTGTGGGCCATGGAGGAAGTTTAGGTGGCTTATGGGATGGCAGCATCTTGGCCTTCCTCAGAGCAAAAGGCAAAAGCTACTGTAGAAGTTTTGGAGGAACACTGGGGACGTCCCTGGGCAGCCCTGATGGCAGGTGAGACCCAAGGGTGCAGAGATCTCCGCTCACCAGGAAAAGCACCCACGCGAGGAGATTGACCGTGAGGTCTGGGAAGCCCCCAAGGGCCGCAGAGGTCTGAGCAGCTGTGGCCAAGCTGTGGACACAGCCCCCGAATCTCCCAGGGACACAGCCTGCAGCCCATCCCTTCCAACCTCGAACCAGTGTGTTGACAACTTGTTTGGCAGAGAATGACCAGAAACTGCCCCTGGACAGGCCCGCAGGGTGAGGGGAGCAGAGGCTGGCTGGAGGGATATGTCGGTCGGGCCCGGATGGAACACTACCCCAGCCTCAGTGACCTCCTGAGTGACTTGGACGGGCTACCCAGGGCAGGGGGTGAACAGCAGGAGACAACAGCCATGGTGCTTAGAGCCACCCTGGCTCCCAGGGAGCTTGGTGTTGCTGGCTGTGAACCACGACAGTGACAGCAACGTGGCGTGCCTGACTCACCGCCTGGGCACACGTGGCCACACCTCATGGGCTTTGCAGCACCCAGGTGCCTCGGCTTCTTCTGAGTGGAGAGACTAACTCCTGCCGGCTGTATTTATTGGCAAAGGCTGGGTCACCTACCCTAACAAGACGGAGGGATGACTGGGGACCCGCGTCCCCTTGGTGTCCTGCTCCTGTCACCTTGCTGTGATTTGCAGATGGCGCTGAGTGGGGATGGGCCAGGCAAGTGGGGATGGGTCTGTTCTTTGAGGCGGGAGGCCCTAAGGAGTCTGGTGGGGCAGCACCAGGCAGGAGAGGGAGGTTTGGTGAAGAAGCAAAGGTCTGTTCATTTGGGGAAATTTTTCCAAATCTGGCCACAGTTGGACAGAAATCAGGGCCTTCACAGGGGCCAAGGGGGGTGCAATGCCAGCGAGGGAAGGGACTGTGCCCTGCAGTAGGGGGTGCGGAATTTCCTGGGGTGGGATTCAGGCCTGATGTGTTGAGGGTGACAGTATCCGGATCCTCTTCCTTGGATCCCCCCACGGTGGCCGAGGCTCAGGGCCAGATCCCATGGTGGCTGAGTCTATTGCTCGTCAGATCTTCCGCTCCATTGGGAATATTGACAGTGGTGATGTGTGGATAACCACGGCTGGTGCGAGGTCCGAAACTGTCTTCATTACAGGGCAGTGGGGCTGGCCAGGAAGCTGGTTTCTGTCCTTCACCCAGAGCAAAGTGGGGGTGGAATGTGTGGGGCTGAGGGTACTGGCTGGTGGACCCCTCAGTCTCTGCCAGGGTGCAAGCCTGAGGAGCCTGGAGCCTGACCCTGCAGCCCCAGGGAGACTTCAGGGAGGCTTCAGGGCAGTACAACACGGAGCTTTGGCTGTGGGGAGCAGAGGGTGCTGCAGCAGGGGTGATCGGGGAAGGCACTGAGGACCCCAGAGTTGGAGCAGGCATGGGGAGGGGTTCACCCTACCTAGCCCTTCCCGGAAGGCCCTGGGATAGGCACAGGGCAGTACAGCCTGTTCCCGCTGCCAGGGGGCCTGAGTGCCTGACCCCACAGCCTGCAGAAGCAGGTGGACTGAGCAGGCTCTGCAGCACCGAGGGGGAAGGGGCCTGAGTGGTCACCCAGTGCTGCTCCCAGAAGGATGTCTACACCCGTAGGACGTGGTGTTCCCTGCGCTACCAAAGCCGCTCTGTCCCTTGCCCTTGCTCGTGATGGGTGAGTGTGTCGGTAGATTCCCACCCTGTGAGCCGGCACCTCAGAAGGTCAGCGTGGAGGGGGGGGGCGTATTTTGGCTCACGACTGCAGGGGTTTCAGTCCGAGGCTGGCTGTTTCTGGGCGGAGGTGCTGCAGGACGTCACGGTAGAGGAGAGCTGACCGCCTGCCAGCAGCCAGGACGCAGAAAGGGCGCTGGAGCAGAGCCAGGGAGGAGAGGCCAGCGCCCGACGCAGTCCCCACGGTCGTGCCCCATGACCTTTCCCTTCCAGTCGGCCCCACCCACTGCCTCCACCAGCACCCCAAGTGCCTGCAAAGTATGATCTCATCAGCGGGTCAAGCCGCTTGATGAAGTTAGGGGCGCTGTGATCCAATCGCTCCCCCAAAGCCCAGCAGCCTGCAACCAGGCTTTTAGCATATGAGTTTTGGGGACATTTCAGACCGCAAGAAAACCAATATTTTAAAAAGAAGCCTGCTTCTTCTAAGTCACCGAGGGGAGCTGTGCGTCAAGAGGCTGGCAAGGCTGCAGGGCTGGGGAGGGTGCAGGGCCCCAGAGAGAGACAGGTGTGGGCTCCCAGCTTTCCTACTTCACCTCTCACACCATGCCAAGTGGGGTTCGCCAGAGTAACCCAGCCTCTGCCCACCAGAGCATCCCCTGCCTTTATCCCCACCAGGTCACTGTGTGAAGGGCTCCACGGTGCTGTCCTGCTGACCAGAGAGCCTGTCCTGACTCAGCTCTGCTGAAAGCACGTGCTAGGTGGAGTGGGGTGGGCAGAGGGATAGGGCCCTGAAGTCTGTGGGCTCCCAACCCCCAGACGTACACCATGGGCAGGAGCCCAAGAGTCTTGACTGCCTCCTGGATCTCATGCTGGTGACCGGGCAGAAGGTCTTGGCAAAGCCAGGGGTCACTATATCAAGTCAAATGCAAAAGCTAGGGGTCCCTTCTCCCAAGGCACAGGGGTCACCTGCCTACTTGACCCTCCCAACACCTTGATGCCCTCAAAGGAGAGTTGCCGAGGGAGAGAGGAGGTCGTGAGTATACGACCATGAGGGCGTGTGTGAGGGTGTGTGTGTGCGTGTGTCTGCACGTGCATATGTGGGTCCTCACGCCAAATGCTGCAGATCTTCCAGGAGCCCCTCAGCCTAGTGGGTTCTTGGGAAGTGTGGGGCAAAGGGCCTGCGCCTGGTAGTGCTGCCCCCTCCCCAGCCAGATGCCCACCTGCTGGAGTCGCCTTCTCCGCGGATGGTACAGTTCCCCATGGATCTGGGAGCCAAATGCTTTGCTGAAGCTGGTAAAATGGAACCAAATCAACTGTTCAATGGATTTGGTCCCCTTCAACCAGCTGTAGCTGCGCATTGATTGCACCGCCCTGCCCGGCCAGACGACACGCAGCCGCGCTGAGGACACTTGCAGGAGGCCACAGGGAGGGCCCAGCGGGTCAGCTGCAAGTAAGCACAGCCCTGCGCACTGTCGGGGTGCCGGGTGGCCGAGGAACCGGACACTTTCCCATGTGAGGGCGGCAGCGTGCTGAGGTGTCCTTGCAAATAAATACTCACTTTCCACACCAGAGTTTTGCTTGAACATTGAGTCCTGGAACTGGGAAGGCGGGGTTGGGGCAGAGGGGCCGCCACTTTCTCCTTCAGAATGACCTCTGTGTGAGCCTCACCCTGAGCCTTTGCAAGGGTGGCATCTGTGTTGGCTGATGCCTAAGGGCCACCGTGGGACACGGTGGGCGTCATCTCTGGGGAGGCCTGGGCCTGGGGCCCCTCTCAAGAAGCTGGGGCTGGTGCCCCATGAAGTGCCACTCAACAGGTGTCCCTGGCTGTGGGCCACGGCACAGAGGCCCTGTGAGGTCTGCTGAGACACAGGCAAAGCCACCAGCGGGCACAGCTGCCGTTGCCCAGGGAAGAGGCGGCGGGCTGCATGCCAGGTGGCTGTGGTGTGAGGGGACATGCAGAACCACTGAGAAGGACCCTAGTGGACGCACCTCCTGGGCAGGGCCTGGCGTTGGGGACATGGGGTGCTGGGTTCTTGGGGTTCCTGCCAGTTTCTGGGTAAAATGCCTATTGGGGTGAACCCCCGCTTCTGCCCAAAGTGACAAAGTGCTTTAACTCAGGGTGCACAGTGGCTAGCCCAGAGGCAGGCGAGGCTGAGACAGGGCCCTGGGAGGGACAGACGGGGGCAGGAGGTGGTCAGCAAAGTGCAGGTCCCCAGACCCTGGTCACCCTAACTGCCTCATGGCACTGCCGTCCTTCACACATAAGTGTCCCAAAGACAGGGACAGCCGAGAGGCTGGAGCCGCAGGGTCCGCCCAAGGCTGGTATGGGGAAGGTGCCCCTCCTTCAGCACCAGGTGGGCTGAGGTTTGGGGCTGCATGGCCTCTGATGGCTGTGAGTCCCCCTCCAATCACACCTCCTTGAGTGGAAGGAAGGACAGCCAGGCCCACCTAAGGGTCTTGGCCAGGGACCAGGGGGCCTCCTGGGGGGTTCCACTGCAGAGCTCCTTCACAGTGTGGTCAACAACCTTTGGGATGGCCCAGCCCCAAACAAAACCAACCCAAGCAGTATCCAGGCAGAATGCTATTCCGCCTGTCCAGCGGCAGGGCCAGTCTCGCAGTGGACGGGAGATTTGGGAAATTCCTACCCCAGCAGAAGACCTGGAGGGAGCCCAAGGTCAGCCTGGCCCTATTCCACCTCCGTTCCTACCCAAACAGCTGTCTGTGCCATGCCAAATGTTTCACCCGGGTGAGAACTGACAGCCACACACACCCACATTGAGGAGGGGGCCAGTACCCACCCACCTGAGGACAGGGCCCACACCCACCCACCTGAGGACAGGCCCACACCCACCCATCTTCAGAAAGAATCCCCTGGCTCTAACAAAGATGATTAATCAGCTTTTCAGTTGATTAGATACAACTCACACATAGCTCAAACAGTGGCCAGGGGCCGGTGAAATGCACCCCTGGAATGCAGGGTTGGAACCATCCTTGTATGGACTCAGCACCCACTCAGAAAACCCCAAAAGGGGTAAGGGCTCTCAAATTGGACCTGTGGTTCAAGTCAGGACATGACACTTACACTTGGCCCTGCCTGGCTCCTCCTCACCACCCAGGCCCCTTGCCAACCCAACTGTCCTGTGCCTACTCCTGCCAGGGGTCATGGCACCGCCACTGGCCTCCACTACCACAGAGGACCCTGCCTAGCATGGTGTCTGCTCCATGCTGGGGGTCTCCCTGCAAGTGAAAGGGCCATGCAAGACTGTGGCTCCCCATAGCATGGACATCAGCTCCAGAATTCCTGTGTGGGTGCTGCTGGCCCTTGGCCACCCACCAGGGCTGCATTTGTGGGGTCCCCTGTGGGGATCACACCAGCCCTGTCCTCAGGCTGGGCCATGTTACTTCCCTTGTGTAGCCTGCACTATGGCACTGCTCAGGGCAACAGGACAGATGATACAGATCACACAAGAACCCCAAAGAGACCACCCCCTGGGCCCGGCAGGCAGCAGCAACCAGCTGCGCAGGGTAAAGGGTCAGGTGGTACTTCAGGGCTTGCCTGGAGTCTCAGGCACACCGCACAGCCACAGATGGTGCGTACCGAGCGGGCTGGGGTCAGGGTTCTGGTAAAACTTTGTTTAGAGACACTGGCATTTGAATTCCATATCATTTGAGAGTCATGAAATATTCTTCTGTTAATTGTCCCCCCAGTCATTAAAAATGTAGAAGCCACTTGTATCTCCTAGGCAGTGTGAAAACAGGCGGCAGGTGTTTAGCCCTGCGGTTGCAGTCGCCACCCCTGGGCCAGGTTAGAGGGAGGAGTTCAGAGGTCAGCTGACACGCTGCTGGGCTGCTGGCACACGTCTGGTGGCTGGGCAGGTGGATGTTCCTGGGAAGCTGCCCGGCCAGCCCTGGTGCACTCCCAGCTTTCCTGATGCTGAGATAAGTGTGGGGAGGCCTGACCCACCTGCCAGCTTGAGGAAACTGAGGCAGAAATTGGCCAGTAGGTGGCAGAACAGAGCCTGGAGCAGCCCATGTACTTAGGGCAAGCTCACGAAGAAGGAGTAGCCCAGCTGGGAAGGGGAGAAGGAGTAGCCCAGCTGGGAAGGGGCCACACCTGGTGTCTAGAATGCCAGGCGAGGAACAGGGACATAGGCTCACTGTGGGAACCTCCCCTCCCCTCTGCCCTCACCTGTCTGGTATCGAACTGCCCTCATCGCAGGGACTCCAGGGGCAGTGTGCACCCATGGGCCTGCTCAGCCTCAGGCTCTGTCTGGCTGGACACACTAGCCAGCCCTGGCTGAGCGTGGAGCGGACAGGACGCAGGAGTCTGTCCCAAGGCTCTCCTCTTCCTCCAGGAAGAAGGAGGTGGGCCACCTGGAGCTCACTCGGGACACTTGGAGCCCTCGGGGCTGCTGTCTGGGGTGCTTTGCTGTGTGCTTCGCTGCACTGGGGACCCCAGAGAATCTTGGTGTAGGGGCTCCAGAGAAAAGAAGCAGGCCGGAAGGGGCCTGTGCTGGGGAGGGCTTGGTGCTCCTGGGGCTCCGGCTCCTCCTTGTCTTCTTGGGAGGGGATGAGAGTACGGCCGACCTCAGCCACGCGGCAGATGCTGAGTCTGTGCCCGGTGTCCCAGGGGTGGGGCTGACAGCAGCGCAGAGGTGACGCCCTGGGACAGGGAGTGGACGCTGCTCCTCACCGCGCGGAGGGCTTGGCCAGCCTCGGAAAGCCGGGAGCTCACCAGGAACATGGATTCCAGGCTCTGGCACCCTCCTGAGTCGGATCCTGCAGGACAGGGAACCGGGAACCTGAATTTGACCAAGAGCATCAGTGAGTCGTATAGGCAAAGGACACCAACCTGGACCCCCTCTGGGCTGGGCCAGGGCTCGGAGGTGTCCGCACCATTCCTGAATAGCAAGAGATGTAGTTACACAGCCAGGTCTGCGTGGGCCTTTGGGCCCCATTCCAGCAGGAAGCCCTCGCCCTCCCACCTGCATGCAGTCTCAGGGGCCTCCGCCAGGGTCCCGGTGGCTCTGCTGACCTCCTTACCCGGCCTGCATTTGCATGGCGCCCGCACAGCCAGTGTGCACGTCTTGCTCTTCAGCAGCAAAAGTCTTCTTAATGCTGAGCCCCTCCACCGTGCTCTCCACACTAGGGCGCTAGGACTTGTCTGGGGGCCCTGGGGCCTCCTCGCTGTCTCTGCCCAGTGCCCCATCCCCTCCCAGGCCCCGCTGACACATGTCCTCTGCCTCTGGGCTGCAGCACTTGCAGGTGGACTACTGTATGCTGTATGCTGGGCCGTGGGGTCGCTCTGCGGTGTCCCCTCACAGCCCTGTGCCCTGTGTCTGGTCAGGGACTGTCCTCAAGCAGATCTGTGTGGGAAGCCAGAGGCGAGGGTAGAGGTGGAAGAACCTCTGGAACCCCCTGCGGTGGGGAACGCGAGAACTGGATGGTCCCAGCCTTGGTGTGTGTGTGGGTAACTCGTGCTCCCAGGAGCTCCTGACCACCCAGAAGGAGAAGGGAAAATGGCCCGTGTGAGGGTGAGAGTGTCACCCATAGGCACACCCCTCACCCAGGGCCTCTGCCTGACAACTTGGGTCTGCGTGTTTCCATCTTAGCCCTTGAGCCAGTGGGGGAGGGGCCCCCACCTCTGGTCCCTGCTCCTTCCTTCTATGTCCATCGAAGGGTCTTCACTGCACACTCTGCCGGGCAGACCAGGCTTTAGGATGGGAATTCTGGTCTCTGGTCTTGCTTGGCACATTTATTTCCTGCAAGTTTGCCCTGAGACATCTGTTACTCACATTTAAGAAAAGAAAAGGCTGACCAGGTGTGGTGGCACATGCCTGTAATCCCAGCACGCTGGAGGCTGAGGCAGGGGGATTGCTGCAAGTTTGAGGCCAGCGTGGGCTACATAGGAAACCCTGTCTCCAAAAGTCAACAAAGAAAGGAAGAAAGGAAGGAAGGAGGGAAAAGGAAAGGGAAAGGGAAAGGGAAAGAAAAGAAAAGAAAAGAAAAGAGAAGAGAAAAGGCGCTTCACACAGCAGAGTCCTGGGCTGTGACTGGAAATTCCTCTCTCTGCCAGCACTGGCGCTCTCCAGTCAGAGCCCAGGCCACTGAAGTGCAAAGCGCATCCCTGCGGGACAGCGCCCTCTTTCCCGCTGGCCTGTGGGGCGGGGCTGCCGTCCTGTGGCGCAGGGGGTGCCCCCCCCAGGCCCCTGCTGGGCGTCCAGATGAGCAGGATGAAGACGCGCTGCTCCCCCAGCTTGAAGCCCTGTTGGTCCTCTTTCTCCTTCATGTTCCGGGGAAATTCCTCCAGCGCCAGGGACTGTAAAGTGACAGTGACATCACACCGAGTGTGGCCACAGCTATACACCCCTGGCTCCGTGCTGGCCCCGGTGCTTACGGAAGGCACATGCCTGACACACACATAGTGCACACATAAGCACATATTTGCACGTTCTCACACACACAAGCACTCGTGGACAGTGCACACATAGGTAAGCACAATGCACACAAGACCCACATGTGCACACGTGCAGTCTCACACATGCACACAGGAACACGTGTGCACA